AGTGGTACAGCAAAAACCTGGGTGATATGGTAACAATTGAAGTGTGTACATACTCTCTTTAAAGATATCGCTGTGGGTCCACGAGTGATTATCATAATACCAAAACAGTCATACATGGACCATCCAGAACCATGTCATCAGGGCTGAAGCAGACTCACTAGCGCTTCCTACTAGTACTTGAATGAATGATAGCAGAAGGTTTAATGAGAAGTTAGAGGAGTAGAAGAGTGTAGGCTTCCCAGCTGCCTTTATGACTGCCACCTGTACAAGAGCACCCAGTGGAAGGGGCAAGTAGGAGCTGAAATCTTGTCCCATCCAGGGGAAGAGATAAAGGTGCTGTCCATTTGTCAAACCGTGAATTTACCAGTGGAGCTGGGGATGCTGCCTTCTGGTGGCAGAACAGCTCGTGGCCATCTGGCTGCCTGCCTTCTGTTCCCAGGGAATAGGGTAACCTTTTCTTTACTCTTTATGTGTGAAGCTGGTTTGTTGTGTTTGCCACATGGTTTTTTGCTTTCAGTCCTGTCCCTTCCTATATTATAACCTGAAGGTGTTTTGTGCATTTTTTTGTCCTCCCTGTCTCACCTCGGGTAACTGTCCTTCAGATGCCATTAAGACCTTTAATTTTTGTTCTCACTTAGGCCATTAACTGAGCTTTCTCCTTCACTGATCCTTGTCTGTTCGTTGTACAGTTAATTTCCTCAGGCAAGTTCATAGTAAAAAAAAACCCAAAACAAAACAACAGAAAAAACCCAGTATCTTCAACTTTTACAAGGTTTCCACCTTGTAAAGGTCCAAGATTCTTCTTGCATGAACTCTTAGCCCCAAGGTTTAAAGGGAAGCCATTGCTCTAAAGGGTAGCCAATACAGACAGTTGTCTCCACTATTTCAAATGGGGGTTCAGGGGACTTGGTTTCTCATTCTAAATCTAAAATCATTAACCTGAACTGGAAAGGCACTAACCACCTCTTCCATTTTTCATTTGTAAAATGGTAGAAGGAATGTTGGAGTGGCTAGTGACTTAGTCATCTCCTACTTAGAAACAGTGTCTTCTGTGAAATCACTGTTTTCTCTGTTAAAGGCTACTAGTATAAGAAGCCTCTTTATTTTTCATTTGTTCTGTTAATTATCAAAACCTTGAAATAGTTTATTCAGGTCAGAATGAGTTGCTTCAATAACAGGAAGTAAGCTCTGGGTGGGTATCACATAGCCACTTCCTCATTCTCTTGGAGGCTTGCCATGGAGAGGACACAGCCATTCTACTTAGAGAGAACCTTCTCTTAGGGCCCATGAGGGAATTCCCCTTTGCTGGCCATGGAGATAGATTTAGGAAGCAACTGGGATTGTTCTTGTTTCTGCCTTATGCATCACTAGCCTGGATCAATCTAATAATTATCTTTCTCTATTCCTATATTTTTGCAGAAGTGTTCTACTGGAGGAAAATTAAACTGTGTAGATTGGTGTAGAGACCAACAAACAGCCAGTCTCTAACCTCAGAATTATATCAAACCTTCCTGGTAATAGTAGTAGTAGAAAATAATGACTGAGCACCAGCTATGTGTATGAAGTGCTCAGGTACTTTATACGTGTTAACCTCATTTAGTCTTTCCCACAACTGGTTAGTACTGCTTCATGAGTACAGTCCCTCAGGTAGTAAGTGACACAGCTGAAATGCAATTCCAGGTCTGTCTACTCCAGAGAGTCTTGTCTTCTATGCAGGATTTCCTTCTGGGCTTCCTCTGCCTCTTCTCTTAGAGGCAAGTCTAGATCCTCACTTCTTTCCTCAAGAATCTACCTTAACTCCACCTCCAGCTATCTAGCTCATCACTCCTGCTTCAGAAGGGAGAAGCTGTTAGGTGTGTCTTTTTACCTAGAAACTCACATGCATGCCTCCCTTTTCCTTATTCTTGCCTGCTCAGAGGAAGGACCATTCCTCCTGTTGCTCTGAATCCTGGGGCCTTCCTCCACAGTTTTTGCCACTCTCCTCAATCTTGCATCACATCGCTTTCTGCTGCCATTTTGGCATATAAATATGCTTAAATTTCTCATCCACACCTTATGCAGCTGTCAACATAATGGTTAAGAGCACAAATCCTGGGCTTAAAACCTGCTCACCCACTAGAGAAATGATCTTGGGCAGGTTTTACTTAACCATGCCTCAGTTTCTTTGAGGAGGATAATGGCTCTTACCCTTACTGTGAGGATAACAGCATGCATGTAGAGCCTTTAGCACAGTGCCCGGCACATGGCATTCAGTACATGCTAGCTGCTGTCATTTTTATTAACAGTTACATTGTTGGCAGTCGTCACCACCCTCAATCCCTCATTCCTTTTATAGCCAGGCTCTTGGAAAGCATAGTCAAGGAAAGACCACATTCAGTTCCTTACCTTGCATTTCCTTCTTAGTCCACAGTAATCTTGTGCCCTCTCACTGAAGTTACCACAAGTCACTAATGACTGTCTAATTGCCAAATTCAGAAAACAAGACCCTTCATCTGACTGGAACCCACTTGTCATTTGTTAGTACTCCCT